TTTCTTTTTTTTTTTTTTTTTTTTTTGAGTTAGTTCTTGTTGAACTTTACTCTCATATGACAATAAATGTCTTTTAGTAATTATGCTTGTTATTCGTATGGAAATCGCAAGCTTATTATGTTCGTGTGGAACTGGGAATGCTCGTATGGAGTTACCCAATATATGTAATGTTCGTATGGAACAAACATATTAAGTGATTTAATTTCTTACCTGTAGACTGAGTTTCTTTTCTTTGGCTCTGTATAAATTCTTTTACACAGTTTGTAAGGTTATCAATTTGGACCTGCATTGATTTCAGTTTTTTACTAGTTTTACGATCGTCCCGATCTCTCTCCCTAGATCGTGAACGAGATCTCTTCTTACTCATTGTGAAGATGAACAAACAATAAAATTTAAATTCCAATTAATATTATTTAAATAATATTATTAGTTTAATAAATCTCTCTAAGCGTCTAAAGCTGTTGGCACAACAAAACAATATGACGACCGATAGAGGCGCGCGAGAGCAACTGACCCAGGCGGGCAGTAATAAATTTGAATTCAAATCTCTAAAAGTTGTGAAGTTTAAGCATACTTGACAGTACTACATGTTATCTATCATCGAGAACGAGACGCGTTGTATAATAATTATTAATCGGCCGAATTGATAAATAATTGCTCACAACTTCTAAAACCACAAGGTCTCGAACATTCCTCGGGTATAAACCCCCTGGAGGAACGCTCAACAGCAACTAACGAATCAAATTAATTAAATATTTACGGAATTACTAAATAAATTATTAATGAACAATTAATAACCCAAAATAATTATTATTGAGAATAATTAGCCAGAGAAGAAGTAAACCTGGTATAAACCCCGCGGTCCACTCCTAGCCCACAGAGTAATTATTAATACCTTGACGAGCAAACGATGATCTACCTTACAACTTGAGGCCGAAGTCCTAGGTGTTGTTGGCTTCTTGCGTCTGGTAACTACCCCGGAGATTGGTCTTCAATTTTAGTGGCACACTGTCTGGCGGTAACACTACTTCTCCCTTTGGCAATGCACGGCTCACCTATATAATAACCCCCGAAACACCCCCTCCAACTCTCTCTATTGGCCCGAAGATCGATGCGCACCAGTGCTAGTCGAAAAGTTATCGATCTCTGGCGACATCGATCAAGGGTAATATTACCCTGTTACAGGGTGAAAATAATAACTTCCCGATTTTTGAAAATCTTTGATTTTCTTAGCGGAAAGTTAAAAATTAAGTGTAGTAATTTATCATGAAATTTCTCTATCATTTTATTTTCAAATTAATTAATATTATGCGATTAAAATCTCTGTTAACTAATTCAAATTGGTTCAAATTTATTTGAATAATTGAAAAATTATTTTTTTGACTATATAATTTTCAAAATAATTGATTACTCAAATCTGCACAATTTAAATATTCGAAAAAAAATTTTTCATTTTATAATTCAGAAAAATTTAATCATGGTTTTTGAACCATGAAAAAATAAAAATAAATTTTAGAATCCCAATTCCCACATTAGAAATGAGTTTTTCTATTTTGAATCTTGTGTCCACATTTAAAAGTAAACTAAATATTTTTAAGCCCAACTACCTTATTTAAAATATTATTTTTAATTGCAAGAAAGTTAGTTAATTCGCTCTGAGGGCAACTAATACGCTCACAGAAAATGTGAGTGTATTACGCGTCTGTGTATATCCGTGAGTGGGAGTGAAGTTCCGATTTTTATCGCAGATGTCGCGTCTTATGGGAAATAACATGGGATTTTCTGGGAGCGAAGTTATAAAAATTGCCACCTCGAGCGCTAGCCCTGTTGCCCTCGGAGCGAATACCACGTGTGCTTTTACAAATAAATCACTTTAACAAAAAAAAATTTGTTGATGCATGAGCCGGCTAAGTGGCCCAGTCAATGACGGTAGCACCGATCGAATCGCTCCCAACAGCAAATTTGGCGAACTAGCCAGCCGACCTTGACCTTTCCCAAAGTCTCCAAGGCCGCAGCAACCCCAAGTCCAGCGTCGATGAAAGCGCGGATGGATCCCCATTTATTGGGTTTCGTGACGGACGCGTTGAGTCCATCCGCAGTCTCACCGATAGCTTCCGCCAGGGCTGCCTTAACCTCTTCGACCGTCGTAGTAGAGTCCATCCTGTCTATTACTAACGTAGCGATAGGGGCAAGATGGCACACCTCCACGTCTCCTCCGGCTACCTCAGTGATCTTATTACGGAGTGCCAAGCGATCTTTATCAGATCCCTCGAACTCGATAAGAAGACCACCTTTTCTGGCAGTCCTCACGGCCTTAACCCCTAAACCCAATTCCTCCGGATGAAGTCCCGAGCGCAAATCCCTCAGAACTTCACCAGAAGACCGGGACTCACCTGGGTTAATCAGCACCGCCTCCGATCGTTGCTTCCTTCTCGGCCTCGGTTCGTCCTTGGCTGCTGTCGTCGGCTTCGTCCCTGGTCCTAGATTTGACGTCTTGATACTTGGTCCTGCCGGCACCACTGTCACTCCCTCGTCCCTGCTCCTTCCTCCAGTTTTTTCTTCTTCTTCTTCTTTTTCTTCTTAGATTCTACCAGTTGGAACGTCTCCTGCGGCTTCATCTGGCTGTCAACCTCCATCTTTCCTTGTGGTCTTACTTCTACTTGGGAATTGTCTCCAGTGCGCTGTCTTTTCCCCCTGACAGTTGCCACTATGAAATTTCCGTTCGCCTGCTTCAGCTGCTTTTACGGTCCTTCTGGTGGACTCATCGCCGGTCTCTTTTTATTTTCGGAGATCGGCGTCTGTGCTGCTACTGCTTGAATGGACTGACGCTGGCTCCTCAGATCTTCGAGAAGCCTCTGCCTCTCTTCTATCTCCTTCTAGGACAGCTCTCGTTGAGCTATCTTCCAGGATCTACGGCTTATGAGGCTTTCTAAGAGCAGCCTCTGTGCTTCCCTTACACCTTTAGTAACTGCACTTGATACCGTCCGTTTAGCTTGGTTGGTCTGGAGTGTCTCTCTGAAGAGTTCCTGGATTTCCTCCAAAAACTTATCCTTCTTTCCAATGGCTTCATTTCTCTTATCAAGGAGTGATGCCATCTCTTCCAGTTTACTCCCAGTAGATGTACTAGACAGAGGGGCCTTGGGGTCCACCTCTCGGTAAACGAGTTATTTGGTGAGACTTTCGTCTGCCTCCTTTCGAACAGGCCGTTTCCTGGGCTCAAAAAAGCTATACACGCACTTAAAATAAAACCCAAATCTCACCAAACAAAAGCACTGTCAACTCGCCGGGCAAGGAAAAATCCTGCCCTCCAGCTTTTACGCTATCACTGGACAGAATGTGAATGGAGTTGAATTTAATTTAATGTCAATCTGTCCTCGTAATTGTTTACTGTATCAAACCCCCTATACAACTCCATTCAACGACTACGTTGGCCTGGCCGGTAATATAATGACAATCCGACCAGTTGCCCAGCGGGGCCCATGCGGGGAGGTGTAGCCGCAAGGCCTGTTGAGCTATAATATTATTTAGTTATCCCTGTATGTGTCTCGTTCGTTTGTTACTTGTCTTCTGTAATCCCCATAATCTTTGAGCCTACCTGCGTTGCCAAATGTTTTGACAACGTCACGAGGCCTTACTCATGCCTCTCAGTAAACGGTGTATTCACGTTGGATGACATGTCCGTAATGAATAAGTGGCTGTAATCCTAGCCAGGAGCCCTTACAGGGTGCTACCATCCGGAGCCAGATGGACCTTGGTTTTTTAACGAGGTTGTTACTCTCCCGGCCCCTCTTTCCTCCCTCCGAAAAGAGAGGCCCCGGGCTTGCCACCGGTATAGCAGAGTTATGTCCGGATGAGCTTTTTTTTTTTTTTTTTCTTGGCGAGAGGAGGGAAATCCTCAAAAGACACCGGCTAGATGTTGGTGATGTTGTTGCCAGTAGTGTGAGATTTTCACTCACTAAAACCCTCCCCTCTCTTGTACCTGATACTGCGGGACCGCGTTAGCATTACTTCGCAGTACCAGGCCCCCTCCACGCTGCTCCTGTAGCTTATTCCTCCGTTTCTTCTCATACATCAAGTAACAATCACTTCGGTAATCATTTATGATGCGAATGAGATACTCTGATAGACCTAATTTCCGAAGCGCCCTCTTATATCCGGCCATCTTGCCGAATTAAATGCATTTTTGACGTCGAACTTCATCATAATGCATACTGGATGGCACCGATGATGACCCGTCCAGACCTGTTGAGCAAATGAAAGCGCTTCCGAAATGGCACCAATTGTACTGCAGCCCGGCCGAAAGCCGTGTTGGTTTTCAGCTAGGCCACCAGCATCGGTCACTTCTTTCCGCAGTCGATTCCTAATAAGAGCTTCGAAAATCTTTCCTGCAACGTCTAACATGCACAGTGGTCTGTAGGACGAAGGTGTGTAGGGCGGACCCTTACCTTTATCTAACAGAACCAACCGTTGCAGTTTCCATCTTTTCGGAAAGACTCCAGTCGAGATGCAGGCGTTGTAAGTATCAAGGAGCAGTTGTTCATGCTCTTTTATAAGGACCTTATAGGCCTCGACGGGGATGCCGTCAGAACCCGGGGCCTTACCTACCTTGAGGGACTTAACAACTGCCCGCAGCTCCACTGCTGTAAAAAGTGGGCACTCGTCATCGGATATTACACTTTGAGTGCATACCCGTTCTTCGTGATCGGGAAACAGAGTTTGGACTATTTCCTCCATCCTATCGGGCTCCATAAGAGCTACTGAACCGCGACCAACAAATTTGCGAGTGACGATCCGGTAGCCATTGCCCCGTAGATCATCATCCACTTCTCTGCAGATCGCCTTCCAGCACCTCTCTTTGCTCGCCTTGATCTCCGTGACGAGACGCTTCTTCGCCGCTTTGTACTCGTTGTTCTTTTGCTGCCCAGTATCTCGCTTTCGCGATCTAAGTGCTTGCCTCCGTAGACGCAAACACTCAGCCCTGAGCAGCGCAATTTCCGCTGTCCAGCATGTAACGGGTTTGTTTACTTACCGTTCATCTAGCCCCTTAATTAATTTAATAAGAAAAGACAATAACTAACAAAATGATTCTAAATTAAAAAGGGCGCCACCGGGGTTTTATAACACGGTTCCCGGAACCGGAACCAGAGCTGAGCTTAATATCTACAGGGAGAGAGAGTGGAGGAAGGTGATCTGAAATAAATAAATTTTTATTTAACAAAAGAACCGGTATTTATTAATAACAAATCAACTTTAACAAATTTGATGACAATTCATCTCACTTACAAACTAACAACTTATTAACTAGCAACGCGGAGAATTAACTGCGAGATAAACGATATTTACAAACGACACCTTTCCAAACGACGATACGATGACTAGCTGGGATGTTCTAACTGACGGTCTCCCACAACCTGACTAACCTAGTTGGGCTTTCTCAGAACAAACGGTCTCCCACACCTGGCTAAACTTAATTTTACCACTCCACAGGACCACTTAATCTCCACTGACTCCACACACTTTTATAAAATAACCAAAAGACTTAATCCTGTAGTACTTAAGACTTCCAAAAGACTTAATAATGTCTTCTAGGAATGTCCTCTAGGAATGTCTCACGTAACCCGCACGATCTTCACACACATAACCCACACGCCTCACACACACACACACACACACACACACACACACACACACACACACACACACAAGAGTATTGCCTGGTGGCGACCCTAGACATCAGAAACGCATTCAACTCCGCCAATTGGGAATGCATCATGCAGGCCCTCCAAGAGAAGAATGTACCAGAATACCTTCTTAAGATCGTAACAAGCTACTTTGAAAATAGGGTCTTGAAGTATGACACGAAGAACGGTCCGAGGGAGTATGATCTTACTGGAGGTGTACCACAAGGTTCAATTCTAGGCCCGCTCCTATGGAATATTATGTATGACGGTCTATAAATACTAACTCT